CTAACTTTTTCACTCTTCTTTATAGAAATTATACACTTTATAGCTGCCTCTATATTTTATATCCAGCTCGAATCTTCAGGGTATCGCTACCGTGTGCAGATTGATGCCCAAGTTTACTGGCAAGGCAAACCGTTGAGTCCGGAGATCGGCACTTTTCGGTTGGCCACGCCCTGGCAGAATGTTAATCCTTCGACGAGTTTGACTTTATCGCTTGAAACTAACATTGACAAAGCAATAATGACACCAGCTCCTCGCGGGGGTGAGCTACTGATGCGATCAGCGGCGCTGGCCTACTCATCTATGTCCGGCCAACCTACTAGAACTGCGCAAGCAACCCAACCTGAACAAAAAGGGCTTCAAGAGACGGAACAGTTGCAACCATCGGCAGCGGAAACTTCTGTTATTCCAATGAATAGCCGATTCGGACTCCATTCGAACTTGAAGAACGTTGTTCAGCTACGCCTTCCCCTTGGGAAACTCAGCGAAATGATCTTGGCTCAGATACCCATCGAATTAAATCCAGATGATTGTGTTGGGGAGGTTCTATTGCCTGTGCCCCCGGCGAGCTTGGTAGCCAGAGTTGTCGAGGAGAACTTAAAGGTGAGTTTGAGGGCTTACAGGAGATAGGGAAATTGAATGTAACAGTTAAAAAAATTGGCTGAATTCCAAATTCAGATTTTTTATTTATTCGCCAGGTGTCTTATCACCAAATAGTAGGCGCTTTCAAAAAGATAATAAAATATCTATTTTCTCTATATTTTAATGTTGAGGAGTGTCCATTATTAATAATGAATAAATGACGAGTTAGCAAGCAGGTTCAGAATGCTCTAAGCATCTCATATAACCTGATCACAAAGACTATCAGCTCGTCACAACGATTGCTTTCTTCTGTAAGTTTAGGAATGCACAATTTAACCAAATGATGTCATTTTACCTTTATAACTATTTGAAAAATTATGGCATCACTCCTGTTTTAGACAACTTAATGAGTAAATCTTATTATGGCTTGCCATGCTTCTTCCCAGAAGTTAGAGGAAACATATGAGAGTGAGGAGTAGGCCATTAAAGTAGATACATTTTTAACACATACTCAGCCGGGATCTAGGCAGGATTTTCATGCTAGAAGATTTTCGAAGACTCGAAGAAGAGGATTATTCACCATAAGTCATACAGAATCAGAGGTTTAATTACTAGGATATTTGAAAAAATATGGAATTATATGGCAGCGCAAGATCCAGCCAACCCATTCTAATCTTGAGGTGTCGATTTAGACGGAATCCACTAATGCGAGCGATAATGGACATCAGATGATAAATTTTTTATCGGTCCCTTTTGTTTCCAAATTTACAGAAATCCCGAAAAATGGATTAAATTTTGCCTCCAATATGAAGAAGATATTCTTTTGGAGATTGTGAATATCTCTTAGAAATGCTCAGAAGACGAGTAATGACACATCTAAAGTCCATAAACAGGAGTAGAGTAACTAGGAGATGAAGAAGGCAACAAAAGAACGATCAAATATTACTTCAGTGGAAGAAGGGGGATTGACTTTACTAATGGATTGTACAGATTATACAAAGAAAATGGAGAGTGTACTGGGTGACGAAAACATCGCCACCATGGAGCTCAACGAAATGATATACGAAATGCGAAAA